ACAGTCCATTTGGGAATGGGTTTCCTTTGTTACGTTAATGAGTTCACACCACTGTAGGGCATGTCTTAAGCCAATCTCTTTTGAGATCTGAAAGAGGAGAAGAATTAAGAAAGAACAGTTGAGGGAAGACAGATGTTGTGTCACGAGACCTCAAGGAACCAAGAAACGGAAGCTGGAAAGCTTGCAAGGACCTCCTGAGTCAACAGAGAAAGCGGTCCCTTAGAATTAGCACCTAAGGGGGCGGGGCGCCGAGCGGGGAGACGGAGGCCACGATGGTTTACATCTCGAACGGACAAGTGTTGGATAGCCCGAGTCAGTCTCCATGGAGATTATCTTTGTTAACAGATTTCTTCTGGGGAATAGCAGAGTTTGTGATTCTGTTTTTCAAAACGCTCTTTCAGCAAGATGTGAAGAAAAGAGGCTATAGAAGTTCATCTGATTCTAGATATGATGATGGGACAGGGCCGCCTGGAAACCCTCCCCGAAGAATGGGTCGCATTAATCATCTGCACTGCCCCAGCCCTCCTCCCACGGCTGGTGGATGCGGAAGGTAAACGTCTGCTCTAAGCAGCAGACAACGGGACATATGCGTGCACAGCAGAAGGAACCCATCAACAAGTGGAAGGCTGCCCACCTAGAGTGGATGAGCAGATGAATGTGTATGTCCCCACAAGAATTGCTCTGTATCCCCACCGACGAATGAGGTCGTGCTGGGAATTCCCTCAGCAGGGATCTGGCGTGGCTGACATGCAGTTCTATGAATGCACATTTCGGTCTCATCATCTTTTTTGTAACACGGGAATATTTTTAGGTTGCAAAACTGGGTCCTCATCTTTATATAGCCGAAACAGAAAAATCTGAATTGCAAGAAAATAAGAGGCTGTGCACCCAGGACTCTTAGCACCACCTTTTCCAACTTCTTACGTGATTGTTTTCATTTACAAATAAATCACATATTTATCATGTTAAAAAAAAAAAAGAATTAGCACCTGAAACTCAGAATTCAGCCTCTGAACCTGTGAGAAAGTCAGTATTTGTTAAAGCCAGCCACTCGTGGTCTTTCTGTCATAACAGCGCCAGGTAACGGAGCCAGGCACTGAACACGTACATTTCCGCATGGTTTGGCTCATCTGCAGTAGGTTTTCTGTGGCTTCTGAATAGACGTGCCCTGATGACCGCAGAGGCTCCGCTCAAGCATCCTTCCTACCAAAACTCTCCCAGGAGGCTCACGTGGGCTCTTCCAGCCCTGCCATCAGCGCTCTGTGGACGTCCGTGCCTACCCAGCCTACTCCAGGGATGTCCCTGCCCTGCTGAGCTCTTCCCTTGGTGTGCTCCGCTGCTCTCCGAGGCGTTAAAGTAACCAGGTGTTCGTTTCCCACACTCGGGTGCCAGTGTGGCCCACGTGGAGGACAGAGAAGAGCCAGGTGGGACTCTAGCCTATGAACGAACGGCCGAGCTGGCTGAGTCACCTCCACGAGAAGTGGGCAGGGAGTGGATGGATGAGTGGCAAAGGGTCTGGTGTCAGGTGTCCAAAGCCATGACCTACCTCTTAGCTGTGCTCTTCCAATGGAGTCTTCCCCCTCCCACTGCTCCTGGAAGCCTAGACGTCTTCTAAGCACCTCTTTGGACTCTCAGCTCTCCTCACCAGGAGCTCGGCTTCCCGCTTTGCCTATTCGGACCCCTCTCAAATCCTAGCACAGATTCTCACAGACAGGCCCACTTACTCCTTCCACTGCTGCTGCTGCTACTACAGATGCAACGAGTATTATTACTACTGTTGCTACTGCTACAGGATTATTGCTGCTGCTGCTGCAAGTACTACCACTTTGTTGCTGCAACTGCCCTTCCTCTTACTACCACTGCTGTTATACCTATTGCTACTGTTACTCCTACTTCACTGTTG